GAGCTTTGACAATTTTACCTTGAAATCATTTGACGCTGAAAGCTTGCTGGTGTATTTGTTTTTAAACGACATCACAGAAAGGATAAGGTTATCAATTCGTCGGAATATTTTTTATTTTTTTTTTCTATGTATGTTACCGCATAACTTTTGACCACGTTAACCGACTACTATAATTCTTTTTTAAAGGAAAGGTGTTAGCTGACAGGCGGTCTAATTTGGTTTAAATCCGATCATTGAATCATTAATAGATTAACGATAATCTTAAAATCTTAGATGGGAATTGAAATCGGTTTTGATGTTTTTTTTTGCTTAAAAATTACTTGTTTATGTAAGCATTTGTTAAAAATGCAGTCTCGCATAGAAATGTAAAAGTAAGGGCCTTATTATAAGTTGCATTCGACTGTGGTCGAAAGTGCTGATCGAACGAATTTTCATTTGGTATTATGACGCTCATTCGATGAAGAATAGCACTATTGTGAATTTCGCTCCGTTAGGTTGCTTACAATAGTATATTTTTCACCGCTGAGAAGTTTTGTTTACAAATCGAGCAAACTAAATAGTATGCTTATACATATGTATGTAAATTTGTGCAAATTAAAATGAAATAAAAAAGAAAGCGAGTTTAAAAAAATGTGATAAAAATGAGTACAACAAAGTTCTGGTTCAACGATTCGTCAGAGGATGAGAGCTTGGTAAACTGGCCAGGAGTAGAAAATGTTTAAGAGGGTTTAAGTGTAGTCTTTCGAATATAAAACTTCCGACTGTCTAAAGAGGCGTTTGTGAGTCAAATCTGTTTAAAATATTTCAAAACTATAAACAGCTTACGATTTCGTTCTCAGAGATCATGCCAACTGAGTATTGAGCTTTTCGTTCACAAGTAAAACCAGCCTTTCGAGCTTGTGTTTAAAGCAGAATATACACAAGCAAACTTGTCTGTACTACATGTCAAGTATGACATACCGTCGCATGATGGATAGGCGGGTGTGCACACCAAATTTTAGGAATGTATTAGAGGTTTACGCCGACAGGCTTTGCGGCGGCGGCGTGGTCAACTTCAAAAATATTCGGCGGCGGCGGCGACGCCAATTATTTTATTATTATAATTCTATTTATTTCATTATTAAATTAGTTTGAAATTTAAATATTGTTACTTCCTACTTAAATTAAAATGTTGAGTGTCTGCGCTGATTGATGGCCGAACAGAAGAAGGTCTGAGGTATATACATTAGACTGTCCCAAGAATATATGGAAAAAAACTTGTGTGCAAATTTTGATATGCATACCCTCTATATTTGAGCTTTTTAGCCTAAATAGCATATATATGAAATTTTATGGCCGTAGGCTAACGATAACCCGTGCCGAGTTTTAGTTGAAGATTTAGTTAATAACTTGAACTTAGACTGCCAAATCGTCCATGAAAACTTTGGAAATGCAATAAATTCGAAATGTTTCCCATATTTGAACGCATTTCTAGTAAATCTGCATCTTTAAATTTTTAATAGGACGACAGGATTTCTCCCAAGGACATCGAAAAAATTAATTAATCGAAAAGTATAGCGGCTTTTTAACGGTGTATTACAAGGCTGCAAAACGATATGTTTTCTAGTCGAATAATTTGTGTATGTCCTGAAG